TTCAAAAGGTCCAGCTACATTAGAGAAATTGTCTCAATTCAGAGAGGGACTTTCAGTGAGGTGGCCAGTCAATGAGTGCATCGGGGCATTACAGGTGTCAGAAGTGAATTCTATGCACACTGTGATAGATACAACTGTCTATCAAGATGCAGCAAACTGACAGTGCCTGCGGAGAGCAGCGCTGCGCACCTCTCCGAACTGTGTCTGACGGTGAGTCGTGTGTGTCCGATTAGTGGACTAGTGGACGCAAGAGTTCCATAGGCACGACAGCAGTGAAAAAATGGTGCCCAGGGTCTCTAAGTTTAATTTCATGCTAAATAATTTTTTGTTAGCCAGAAGAGTATTGTAAATGGTGTCAAAGCCGATGAGTTTTGGAAGGTTGTAAGATTTCATTGCTGAAGATAAGATAAGATAAGATAAGATAAGATAAGATAAGATAAGATTTCGTTCGGATTTTTAACCCCGGAGGGTTAGCCACCCAGGATAAGCCAAGAAAGTCAGTGCGTCATCGAGGACTGTCTAACTTATTTCCATTGTGGTCCTTAATCTTGTCCCCCAGGATGCCACCCACACCAGTCGACTAACACCCAGGTACCTATTTGCTGCTAGGTGAACAGGACAACAGGTGTAAGGAAACGTGTCGAAATGTTTCCACCCGCCGGGAATCGAACCCGGGCCCTCCGTGTGTGAAGCGGGAGCTTTAGCCACCAGTTTATTGTGTACCTCATATCCATCCTGTGGATGGTAGTGGCTAGTTTATTGTGCACCTCATATCCATCCTGTGGATGGTAGTGGCTAGTTTATTGTGCACCTCATATCCATCCTGTGGATGGTAGTGGCTAGTTTATTGTGCACCTCATATCCATCCTGTGGATGGTAGTGGCTAGTTTATTGTGCACCTCATATCCATCCTGTGGATGGTAGTGGCTAGTTTATTGTGTACCTCATATCCATCCTGTGGATGGTAGTGGCTAGTTTATTGTGTACCTCATATCCATCCTGTGGATGGTAGTGGCTAGTTTATTGTGCACCTCATATCCATCCTGTGGATGGTAGTGGCTAGTTTATTGTGTACCTCACATCCATCCTGTGGATGGTAGTGGATAGTTTATTGTGTACCTCATATCCAACCTGTGGATGGTAGTGGCTAGTTTATTGTGTACCTCATATCCATCCTGTGGATGGTAGTGGCTAGTTTATTGTGTACCTCATATCCAACCTGTGGATGGTAGTGGTTAGTTTATTGTGTACCTCATCCATCCTGTGGATGGTAGTGGCTAGTTTATTGTGTACCTCATATCCATCCTGTGGATGGTAGTGGCTAGTTTATTGTGTACCTCATATCCATCCTGTGGATGGTAGTGGCTAGTTTATTGTGTACCTCATATCCATCCTGTGGATGGTAGTGGCTAGTTTATTGTGTATCTCATATCCATCCTGTGGATGGTAGTGGCTAGTTTATTGTGTATCTCATATCCATCCTGTGGATGGTAGTGGCTAGTTTATTGTGTACCTCATATCCATCCTGTGGATGGTAGTGGCTAGTTTATTGTGTACCTCATATCCATCCTGTGGATGGTAGTGGCTAGTTTATTGTGTACCTCATATCCATCCTGTGGATGGTAGTGGCTAGTTTATTGTGTACCTCATATCCATCCTGTGGATGGTAGTGGCTAGTTTATTGTGTACCTCATATCCATCCTGTGGATGGTAGTGGCTAGTTTATGGTGAACCTCATATCCATCCTGTGGATGGTAGTGGCTAGTTTATGGTGAACCTCATATCCATCCTGTGGATGGTAGTGGCTAGTTTATGGTGAACCTCATATCCATCCTGTGGATGGTAGTGGCTAGTTTATTGTGTACCTCATATCCATCCTGTGGATGGTAGTGGCTAGTTTATTGTGTACCTCATATCCAACCTGTGGATGGTAGTGGCTAGTTTATTGTGTACCTCATATCCATCCTGTGGATGGTAGTGGCTAGTTTATTGTGCACCTCATATCCATCCTGTGGATGGTAGTGGCTAGTTTATTGTGTACCTCATATCCATCCTGTGGATGGTAGTGGCTAGTTTATTGTGTACCTCATATCCAACCTGTGGATGGTAGTGGCTAGTTTATTGTGTACCTCATATCCATCCTGTGGATGGTAGTGGCTAGTTTATTGTGCACCTCATATCCATCCTGTGGATGGTAGTGGCTAGTTTATTGTGTACCTCATATCCATCCTGTGGATGGTAGTGGCTAGTTTATTGTGTACCTCATATCCATCCTGTGGATGGTAGTGGCTAGTTTATTGTGTACCTCATATCCATCCTGTGGATGGTAGTGGGTAGTTTATTGTGTACCTCATATCCATCCTGTGGATGGTAGTGGCTAGTTTATTGTGTACCTCATATCCATCCTGTGGATGGTAGTGGCTAGTTTATTGTGTACCTCATATCCATCCTGTGGATGGTAGTGGCTAGTTTATGGTGAACCTCATATCCAACCTGTGGATGGTAGTGGCTAGTTTATTGTGCACCTCATATCCAACCTGTGGATGGTAGTGGCTAGTTAGTTTATGGTGAACCTCATATCCATCCTGTGGATGGTAGTGGCTAGTTTATTGTGTACCTCATATCCATCTTGTGGATGGTAGTGGCTAGTTTATTGTAGACCACATATCTGTACATAGTGTTAGTAACAGCTATGAGCAGTGTGCTGATTTGAGGTACCAGCTTTACAGAAAGTGGAACACCTGCCATGTTCCACTGAGAAGGTGTAATGCCTACTGAGGAAATGCAGTGGAAAATAAATATGAGAAATATCCATGCCTAGAGATACGGACGTCATCTGGCTTAGCTGCTGTTGGTCAGGTTGTGGATGTGAGTTTGCTGGATAGGGAGAGTGGATATCCACACTGGCTTGAATTTAATGAAGGAAGTGTGTGGGTGAGTAGTCCTTGAGACAAACAAGTGAGGTGATGTCCAGTTGTCTGGTAACTTTGATACTTTGCCTGCCTTGTCAGGAGGTGGGTGTGGGGGTCACACACTCCCACACCAACCTTGTCAGGAAGTGGTTGTGGGGGTCACACACCTCCACATCAACCTTGTCAGGAGGAGGTTGTGGGGGTCACACACCTCCACACCAACCTTGTCAGGAGGTGGGTGTGGGGGTCACACACCTCCACACCAACTTTGTCAGAAGGTGGGTGTGTGGGTCACACACCTCCATACCAATCTTGTCAGGAGGTGAGTGTGGGGGTCACACACCTCCACACCAACCTTGTCAGGAGGTGGTTGTGGGGGTCACACACCTCCACACCAACCTTGTCAGGAGGTGGTTGTGTGGGTCACACACTCTCACACCAACCTTGTCAGGAGGTGGTTGTGGGGGTCACACACCTGTACACCAACCTTGTCAGGAGGTGGTTGTGGGGGTCACACACCTCCACACCAACCTTGTCAGGAGGTGGTTGTGGGGGTCACACACCTCCACACCAACCTTGTCAGGAGGTGGTTGTGGGAGTCACACACCTCCACACCAACCTTGTCAGGAGGTGGTTGTGGGGGTAACACACCTCCACACCAACCTTGTCAGGAGGTGGTTGTGGGGGTCACACACCTCCACACCAACCTTGTCAGGAGGTGGTTGTGGGGGTCACACACCTCCACACCAACCTTGTCAGGAGGTGGTTGTGGGGGTCACACACCTCCACACCAACCTTGTCGGAGGTGGTGTTGTGGGGGTCACACACCTCCACACCAACCTTGTCAGGAGGTGGTTGTGGGGGTCACACACCTCCACACCAACCTTGTCAGGAGGTGGTTGTGGGGGTCACACACCTCCAGACCAACCTTGTCAGGAGGTGGTTGTGGGGGTCACACACCTCCACACCAACCTTGTCAGGAGGTGGTTGTGGGGGTCACACACCTCCACACCAACCTTGTCAGGAGGTGGTTGTGGGGGTCACACACCTCCACACCAACCTTGTCAGGAGGTGGTTGTGGGGGTCACACACCTCCACACCAACCTTGTCAGGAGGTGGTTGTGGGGGTCACACACCTCCACACCAACCTTGTCAGGAGGTGGTTGTGGGGGTCACACACCTCCACACCAGCCTTGTCAGGAGGTGGTTGTGGGGGTCACACACCTCCACACCAACCTTGTCAGGAGGTGGTTGTGGGGGTCACACACCTCCACACCAACCTTGTCAGGAGGTGGTTGTGGGGGTCACACACCTCCACACCAACCTTGTCAGGAGGTGGTTGTGGGGGTCACACACCTCCACACCAACCTTGTCAGGAGGTGGTTGTGGGGGTCACACACCTCCACACCAACCTTGTCAGGAGGTGGTTGTGGGGGTCACACACCTCCACACCAACCTTGTCAGGAGGTGGTTGTGGGGGTCACACACCTCCACACCAACCTTGTCAGGAGGTGGTTGTGGGGGTCACACACCTCCACACCAACCTTGTCAGGAGGTGGTTGTGGGGGTCACACACCTCCACACCAGCCTTGTCAGGAGGTGGTTGTGGGGGTCACACACCTCCACACCAACCTTGTCAGGAGGTGGTTGTGGGGGTCACACACCTCCACACCAACCTTGTCAGGAGGTGGTTGTGGGGGTCACACACCTCCACACCAACCTTGTCAGGAGGTGGTTGTGGGGGTCACACACCTCCACACCAACCTTGTCAGGAGGTGGTTGTCGGGGTCACACACCTCCACACCAACCTTGTCAGGAGGTGGTTGTGGGGGTCACACACCTCCACACCAACCTTGTCAGGAGGTGGTTGTGGGGGTCACACACCTCCACACCAACCTTATCATTTAGGTTACAAAATCGAATAAATTATTCACAAAACATTTATTCAATAAAAGTTACTAATATATAAATAATATGAGAGAGAGAGAGAGAGAGAGAGAGAGAGAGAGAGAGAGAGAGAGAGAGAGAGAGAGAGAGAGAGAGAGAGAGAGAGAGAGAGAGAGAGAGAGAGAGAGAAAGATTTTGAGGACTGTCATGGGGGCCTAAAGAGTACAGATGCAGTGATATGTAGTAGATGCTGGTGTGTTGCAGATCACTGCTGCAGATCACTGTTGTAGACCACTTCTGTAGACCACTGTTGCAGATCACTGCTGCAGATCACTGTTGTAGACCACTGCTGTAGACCACTGTTGCAGATCACTGCTGTAGACCACTGTTGTAGACCACTGCTGCAGATCACTGTTGCAGATCACTGCTGTAGACCACTGTTGTAGACCACTGCTGCAGATCACTGTTGCAGATCACTGCTGTAGACCACTGTTGTAGACCACTGCTGCAGATCACTGTTGTAGACCACTTCTGTAGACCACTGTTGCAGATCACTGCTGCAGATCACTGTTGTAGACCACTGCTGTAGACCACTGTTGCAGATCACTGCTGCAGATCACTGTTGTAGACCACTGCTGTAGACCACTGTTGCAGATCACTGCTGCAGATCACTGTTGTAGACCACTTCTGTAGACCACTGTTGCAGATCACTGCTGTAGACCACTGTTGCAGATCACCGCTGTAGACCACTGCTGTAGACCACTATTGCAGATCACTGCTGTAGACCACTGTTGCAGATCACCGCTGTAGACCACTGCTGTAGACCACTGTTGCAGATCACCGCTGTAGACCACTGCTGTAGACCACTGTTGCAGATCACTGTTGTAGACCACTGCTGTAGACCACTGTTGCAGATCACTGCTGTAGACCACTGCTGCAGATCACCGCTGTAGACCACTGCTGTAGACCACTATTGCAGATCACTGCTGTAGACCACTGTTGCAGATCACCGCTGTAGACCACTGCTGTAGACCACTGTTGCAGATCACCGCTGTAGACCACTGCTGTAGACCACTGTTGCAGATCACCGCTGTAGACCAACGTTGCGAATCATTTTTGCAGATCACTGCTGCAGATCACCGTTGGAGATCACTCAGCAGTTTGATTCCCAGATCAGCACTCCTGTCAGTAACTACTCAGCACTACCAGTGACAGCAGTCAGGGGATAGACAGCCTTTTGGCTGTCTTCTCTGTCTTTGTTTTATTGCTGTCATCACCTGTTGTTACTTCCTGTTATCCCTTTGTCTAAATCACTGTTGTGATGAACAAGCCATCACTCTGCTGTCTGCTGCTGTGTACTGGCTGTCAGTGCTGCTGTCAACGCGGGTCTACATCCTGTCAGTGCTGCTGTCAACACGGGTCAACATCCTGTCAGTGCTGCTGTCAACACTGGTCTACATCCTGTCAGTGCTGCTGTCAACACGGGTCTACATCCTGTCAGTGCTGCTGTCAACACGGGTCTACATCCTGTCATTGCTGCTGTCAACACGGGTCTACATCCTGTCAGTGCTGCTGTCAACACGGGTCTACATCCTGTCAGTGCTGCTGCCAACACGGGTCAACATCCTGTCAGTGCTGCTGTCAACACGGGTCAACATCCTGTCAGTGCTGCTGTCAACACGGGTCTACATCCTGTCAGTGCTGTCGTCAACGCTGTTTATCTCCTGTCATCAAACTCCTCAGAGGAACGGAAGGATCCCTGGGCGCCGTTGGCTGACACACCATCAGCAGTGGCTGGCACAGCGTTGGACTCCAAGACTCTGTACCCGTCATCGTCAGCGATGTACTTCACGAAGTACTTGACGCCTTCTGGAGAGGTCCAGCTGAAACACATCGATTGTTGATGCATTTTCAGCTAATTATCTTTAATTATCAGCTAATTATCGTCAATTATCAGCCAATTATCTTCAAAATTCTTGTGATTTTAAGTTGGAAATCTTGATAAATGTCTTGAAATGACTGATAATGGGGTTTAAGATGCGCGAAAGACCAATTAAATTTGATCTGAAGGTGTCCAAAGTGGCCAGGAATGCACAGCTGGTGTTTGGAACCGTGATTCGACCCTTGAAATGACAGCTAGGTAACTACAGTTGTCGAGTTATTACACTCACCTGTACGACCCAGTGAAGACTGTGTCGTCATCGATGGACTGGTCGTGCTGGATGTCGTCCAGGTCGAGGAGTGTGTCGGGGCGAGCGACGACCAGGGCGACCAGACCCAGGAGGACGACTACCTGGAGGAGGGACGACCAAGTTAGTCGTCAATTACTGCCACTACAGTTACGAAATTCCTCTCGACATGATATCCATTAGGAATTAGAGCTCCTCTTCATCGGAACAAACCTACCTACTTCCCGTGTTGGTACGCTGACGTGGATTTATTGGGACTTCAATTTCCGTTTATATCAAAGGAATTGATGAAAAAACTATTGAGAGGTCAAAATAAATATTTTATATATATAAATTCTACCTACTTAGGCTCTATGTCAACCGACACAGGATTTCCAGGGGTTCATTTTGATTTGGGCTGCGTTCGGTAAGACCGGCTTCGTTAGGGCAGGGTTCGGTAAGGTTGGTTTTGTTTGGGCCGGGTTCGGTAAGGCCGGTTTCATTTGGGCCAGGGTAACTGGAAGCTTGCTTCACCCGAGATTGCTTCGCCAGAGACTGCAAGAACAAACAAGGTGGATTGTCCATACTATCGCTGCCGCCAATTGCAATGGGGTGTGTAACACCGTTCAAATGGACGGACCATTGTGGGAAGGGTAACAGGTGTGGCAGCAAGTAGGAGATATGCAGGATACTGTAAAGTCACGGTAGACTAGAAAGAGGTTTACTGACGAGTGGATTCATCACAAAGACTAGGGAAACGCCAGAGTATGGTCATATTGAGAAGCGAGTCAGTCCATTTGTTGGCATCCAAGTGTGGACAAGGTAGAGCCCTGTTGACTGTGGTCCGGCTTATGTGGACACTAGGTATAAATACGCAGATACGCGGAAGTCGTGCCTAGGCGGGCAGTGTGTTACTACGAGGGAGCCTGGGTACATCAAGACTGAGGGACTGACCACCTTCTATCAAGACTGAGGGACTGACCACCTTCTATCAAGACCGAGGGACTGACCACCTTCTGTCAAGACTGAGGGACTGATCACCCTTTATCAAGACTGAGGGACTGACCACCTTCTATCAAGACCGAGAGACTGACCACCTTCTATCAAGAATGAGGGACTGACCACCTTCTATCAAGACTGAGAGACTGACCATCTTCTATCAAGACTGAGGGACTGACCATCTATCTCTCCACCTCTTCCAAGTCTCAAATATTATAGTCACCTCTGTGTTTCACTGAGGAGGCCTACTATTCAGGCGAAACACTCCATCAATGAACAATGTTCAACTGCTGCACCTGTGTTCCTCTAATCAACTTGGTCGGTGCTGTGTATCAATATAACGGAACTGAAATGCAATATCAGTATTTTAAGGAACACGTCAGAGGGACAGCTCGCTTCCGGCAAGGGGGTGATGGAGTGAGTGATGGTGTACGTGTTTCTTTGTCCTTTCGTGGCACTCTAGATTGCTGGGAGACGGCCGGTGTGTGTTGAAGAAATAATCGAATTACGAGCCGTGGTAGAAGTTGGAACAAAAAAGAGACGGTAATGGAGGGAGTGGCCCTATAGTAACACACGGTAGTGGAAGGAGTGGCCCTATAGCAACACACGGTAGTGCAAGGAGTGGCCCTATAGCAACACGGTAGTGGAAGAAGTGGCCCTATAGCAACACACGGTAGTGCAAGGAGTGGCCCTATAGCAACAAGCTAGTGGAAGGAGTGGCCCTATAGCAACAAGCTAGTGGAAGGAGTGGCCCTATAGCAACACGGTAGTGGAAGGAGTGGCCCTATAGCAACACACGGTAGTGCAAGGAGTGGCCCTATAGCAACACGGTAGTGGAAGGAGTGGCTCTATAGCAACACGGTAGTGGAAGAAGGGACCCTATAGCAACACACGGTAGTGGAAGAAGTGGCCCTATAGCAACACACGGTAGTGGAAGAAGTGGCCCTATAGCAACACGGTAGTGGAAGACGTGGCCCTATAGCAACACACGGTAGTGGAAGGAGTGGCCCTATAGCAACACACGGTAGTGGAGGAAGTGGCCCTATAGCAACATACGACAGTGCAAGGAGTGGCCTATAGCAACACACGGTAGTGGAGGAAGTGGCCCTATAGCAACATACGACAGTGCAAGGAGTGGCCCTATAGCAACATACGACAGTGCAAGGAGTGGCCCTATAGCAACACACGGTGGTGGAGGAAGTGGCCCTATAGCAACATACGACAGTGCAAGGAGTGGCCCTATAGCAACATACGACAGTGCAAGGAGTGGCCCTATAGCAACATACGACAGTGCAAGGAGTGGCCCTATAGCAACATACGACAGTGCAAGGAGTGGCCCTATAGCAACATACGATAGTGCAAGGAGTGGCCCTATAGCAACATACGACAGTGCAAGGAGTGGCCCTATAGTCAGAGACACAACACAGCCACCACTACCTAGATGGCAAGATTCAGAAGAGACATGATATACCAACTTACTAAACACTTCATGTCAGTGGGTGTTGTTGACGGTGCGTGAGAGAGTGATACAAGTCCGTCCAGTCTTCCAGACTTTATACCTGCCAAGTCTGACCCCGCCCACAGTCTGAGGGGAGGGGGGTCGAACAGGGAAGGTCCACTTGCTACAGAAGATGGTGTCGACAATACCTGCATGACCTTCAACATGAGAACCTTACGGAAAATATATCTCGGGTGTTACTTTTCAGATGTTTAAGTTAAGTTTTGGTCAGTTGAAAGATATATACAAGGTCAGCAGCATCACTGACCTGAAGATCTGTTCATCTTAAATGTCTTCAGCTGTGAGTCATGAGTCATGACCGTAGGAGAGACAGCCAGGTCATTACCACCACTAACATAACACTGGTCATTATAATTGTAGGTGGGAGAGCCAGGTCATTACCACCACTAACATAACACTGGTCATTATAATTGTAGGTGGGAGAGCCAGGTCATTACCACCACTAACACAACACTGGTCATGATAGCTGTAGGTGGGAGAGCCAGGACATTACCACAACTACCATAACACTGGTCATGATAGCTGTAGGTGGGAGAGCCAGGACATTACCACAACTACCATAACACTGGTCATGATAGCTGTAGGTGGGAGAGCCAGGTCATTACCACCACTACCATAACACTGGTCATGATAATTGTAGGTGGGAGAGCCAGGTCATTACCACCACTAACACAACACTGGTCATGATAGCTGTAGGTGAGAGAGCCAGGTCATTACCACCACTAACACAACACTGGTCATGATAATTGTAGGTGGGAGAGCCAGGTCATTACCACCACTAACACAACACTGGTCATGATAATTGTAGGTGGGAGAGCCAGGTCATTACCACCATTACCATAACACTGGTCATGATAATTGTAGGTGGGAGAGCCAGGTCATTACCACCACTACCATAACACTGGTCATGATAGCTGTAGGTGGGAGAGCCAGGTCATTACCACCACTACCATAACACTGGTCATGATAGCTGTAGGTGGGAGAGCCAGGTCATTACCACCACTAACACAACACTGGTCATGATATTACTACTACTATTACTACTACTATTACTACTGCTATTACTACTACTATTACTACTACTATTACTACTGCTACTACTACTATTACTACTACTATTACTACTGCCATTACTACTGTTATTACTACTACTATTACTACTGCTACTACTACTATTACTACTACTATTACTACTACCATTACTACTGCTACTACTACTATTACTACACTACAACTACTGCTACTACTACTATTACTACTGCTATTACTATAACTATTACTACTACTATTACTATACTATTACTCTGATATTACTATACAATTACTAACTACTATACTCTGCTATTACTACTACTATTACTACTACTATTACTACTGCTATTACTACTACTACTTATACTATTATATTAACTATTACTACTGCTATACTACTACTATTATACTGATTACTACTACTATTACTACTACTACTACTACTATTACTACTACTATTACTACTACTATATACTTACTACTATTACTACTACTATTACTATACTATTATCCCTGCTACTACTACTATTACTACTACTATTACTACTACTATACTACTACTATTACTACTACTATTACTACTACTATTACTACTACTATTACTACTACTATTACTACTACTATTACATACTATACTACTACTATTACTAAACTATTACACTACTACATTACTACTACTATTACTACTACTATTACTTCGCTATTACACTACTATTACTACTATATTACTACTACTATTACTACTAGCTATTACTACTACTGCATTACTACTACTATTACCACTACTATTACTACTACTATTACTACTACTATTACTACTACTATTACTACTACTATTACTACTACTATTACTACTGCTATTACTAATACTATTACTACTACTATTACTACTACTATTACTACTGCTACTACTACTATTACTACTACTATTACTACTACTATTACTACTACTATTACTATTACTACTACTATACTTACTTACTATTACTACTGCTACTACTACTACTATTACTACTACTATTACTACTACTATTACTACTACTATTACTACTACTATTACTACTGCTATTACTACTACTATTACTACTACTATTACTACTGCTATTACTACTACTATTACTACTACTATTACTACTGCTATTACTACTACTATTACTACTACTATTACTACTACTATTACTACTACTATTACTACTACTATTACTACTTACTATATACTACTACTATTACTTCTGCTATTACTACTACTATACTATTACTACTACTATTACTACTACTATTACTACTGCTATTACTACTACTATTACTACTACTATTACTACTACTATTACTACTACTGCTACTACTACTATTACTACTACTGCTACTACTACTATTACTACTACTATTACTACTACTATTACTACTCTATTACTACAAACTATTACTACTACTATACTTCTCTATTACTACTACTATTACTACTACTATTACTACTACTATTACTACTACTGCTATTACCTACTATTACTACTACTATTACTACTACTATTACTATTACTACTACTATTACTACTACTATTACTACTGCTATTACTACTACTATTACTACTACTATTACTACTACTATTACTACTACTATTACTACTACTATTACTACTGCTATTATACTATACTAATACATTATTACTACTTATTATCTACTCTACTACATTACTATACTATACTACTGCTATTACACTAATACTACTATTACTACTACTATTACTACTACTATTACTCTGCTATTACTACTACTATTACTACTATATTACTACTACTATACTACTACATACTACTTATACTACTCTATACTACTACTATTACTACTACTATTACTACTGCTATTACTACTACTATTACACTACTATTACTAATACTAACTATATATTACTAACTATTACTACTACTATTACTACTACTATTACTACTACTATTACTACTACTATTACTACTACTATTACTACTAACTATTACTACTACTATACTCTGCTACTACTACTATTACTACTACTATTACTACTTACTATTACTACTACTATTACTACTACTATTACTACTACTATTACTACTACTATTACTACTACTTACTATACTATACTACTATTACTACTACTATTACTACTGCTATTACTACTCATTACTACTACTATTACTACTACTATTACTACTGCTATTACTACTACTATTACTATTGCTATTACTAGCTCTATTACTACTCTACTACTACTATTACTTACTACTATATACTACATACTTACTTTACTACTACTATACTACTCTATTACTACTAACTTACTTACTACTACTATTATACTACTATTACTACTACTATTACTACTGCTACTACTACTATTACTACTACTATTACTACTACTATACTACTACTATTACTATACTCTATTACTACTACTATTACTACTATTCATTTATACTATTAACCTACTATTACTATTACTACTGCTATTACTACTAACTAATTACTACTACTATTACTAACTAGCTATTACTACTTATACTATTACTACTACTATTACTACTACTATTACTACTACTATTACTACTACTTATACTATCTCTATTACTACTTACTATTACTAACTACTATTACTACTACTATTACTACTACTATTACTACTACTATTACTACTATTATTACTACTAACTCATTACTACTGCTACTATACTTTACTACTACTTACACTACAATACACTAACTATTACTACTACTATTACTACTACTATACTATACTATTACTACTACTACTACTATTACTACTATACTATTTACTACTGCTACTAATATACTACTACTATTACTACTACTATATACTACGCTATTACTACTACTATTACTACTACTATTACTACTACTATTACTACTACTACTACTTACTACTACTATTACTACTTTACTACTACTTACTACTACTACTATTACTACTACTATTACTACTACTATTACTACTACTATTACTACTATACTACTTACTACACTACTATTACTACTACTATTACTACTACTATATACTACTACCTATTACTACTACTATTACTACTGCTATTACTACTACTATACATACTACTATACTACTATTATTACTACTACTATTACTACTCTATACTACTTTACTACTATTACTACTACTACTTACTACTACTAATTATACTACTACTACTATTACTACTACTATTACTACTACTATTACTACTACTATTACTACTACTATTACTACTACTATTACTACTGCTATTACTACTACTATTACTACTACTATTACTACTACTATTACTACTACTATTACTACTACTATTACTACTACTATTACTACTACTTACTACTACTACTTATTACTACTACATATACTATACTACTACTATTACTATCTACTATTACTACTACTATTACTAACTACTAATATACTACTACTACTTACTATTAACCTATACTACTACATTACTAACTATTACTATTATTACTACTACTATTACTACTACTATTACTACTACTATTACTACTACTATTACTACTACTACTTACATACTATACTACTACTATTACACTTACTTACTACATATATACACTATTCTAACTATACTACTACTAACTATATTACTACATAACTATATTATTCACTACTAATTACTACTACTATTACTATACTTTACTACTTACAAAATTACTACTATATATTATCTACTATTACTACTACTATTACTACTATATTACTACTCTACTCTATTACTACTGCTATTACTAACTATTACTATTACTCTACTATACTATCTATTACTACTACTATTACTACTACTATTACTACTACTACTACTATATTACTACTACTATCTATTATTACTACTATACTACTATACTACTATACATTCTATTACTACTGCTATTACTACTACTATTATACTACTACTATTACTACTACTATTTA